GCGAGGGCCTCCGGGGGGCGGGGCCGGGGGCGGAGCTGCGCCCCGGGGGCCTCCGCGGGGCAGCGGGCAGCCTGCGGCGTTGGGCTTAGGTTTACCCGGGAGCCGTCCGGGGCTGGCGTCGGAAGCCGCGGCCGTGCCGCTGTGGTTGCTGCTGTAGAATAACTATCCGTGACCTGGCCGTTTCAGTCTTTGCCGCTGAGTGCGGCCCAGCATCCGCTTTCCCCAGGAATTTGTTAAAAATGACGAATCCCGGGCCCGCCCGGCACCCGTTGATCAGAATCTGCATTCCAACAAGACCCGCTGGGGATTCACCTGCACCTTCCAGTTCGGGAGGCGCCAAGTGGAAAGACGCCTCAGCAGAGGGCGCTAGAGACCTCCACACTCGGCCAGGAGGCGGGCTCCGGTGAGGGCCTCTGACCACTCAAAATGCCCAGATGGATACGCGCTCACTGTAGGATTTAGAAAATATGTCACCTATAATCACTCTGCTCAGATACCCAGGACTAACATTACTTCCCATTTCCTGTGCACTTCAATGTTTAAAATGTGTATAAAAAGTAGTACATGTCTTTCCAAGAGAAGTGTTGGGACTACTTCTCTCCAGGAAAATCATTATTAGAGTACTTTCTGTCTAGGCACAGTTTTATATATAGCACACGTTAAAAAATAGTTTACATAATCTGTATTGGACGTTTTTAGTATGATTTCACACTGAACTGTTGAGCAGCATTTTTTTTTTCCGTTCCGGAAGTTTTCGTGGAAGTCCTTCCTTGCCACTCTCTCTCACAGGGTGGTTTTGTGGCTCAAATTAAAGCATGGATAGCCCTGATAACTGCTATTTATAGGTTGAATTGTGTCCCCCCAAAAAAGATATGTTTAAGTCCTAATCCTCCACATCTGTGAATATGACCTTACTGCAGATGTAACCAAATTAAGAAGTCATTAGCGTGAGCCCTAATCTGACCAGTGTTCTTCCAGGAGACAGAGACACAGGGAGAAGGCCACGTGACAACGGAGGCAGACTGGAGTGATGCATCTACAACGCCCAGGACCGCCAAGGACTGCTGTGGGTACCGCAAGCTAAGAGAAAGGCATGGAACAGACGCTCCCTGGAGCCCTCAGAATGCCCTTGCTGACACCTTGAATCTGGACTTTTAGCCTCCAGAAACTGTGAGAGAATTGCTTTTAGCCCCCCAGTTTGTGGTCATTTGTTCTGGCAGCCCCCAGACACTCCCAAAGGTGGGTAAGACCCAACCAAGCCTCTTTAGTACCAGCTTCAGTGTTCCAACCCTTCTCCCACCTCCAGGGCGATCTCAGTTTCTATGCTCTGTATGCTGAATTTTATTTTATTTTTTTAAGATCTACACCCAACATGGGGCTTGAACTCACAACCCCGAGACCAAGAGTCCCACACTCCACCATCAAGCCTGCCAGGTGCCTCCTACACTGATTTTTAGTTCCCTTTTTTTGTTTCTGGTTCTTAGGGATTGACTATTACTCTTTGGGAATTCAACTGTGTATTAATTTAAAAATTGTTTTTCCTCAGCTTTATTGAGGTATAATTTATGACCCATAAAATGAAGCCATTTTGAAGAGAGTTTAATTTTTAGAAGACTTATAGAGCTAACTGTGTGCAATCATGACCACAAACCAACACATTTCCACCACATCAAAAAAGTTCCCATCATGCCCTTACGGTCACTCGCTCCCATCCCCAGCCACCAGCCACCGAGGATTTGCTTTCTATCTCTATAATTTGCCCTTTCTGGACATTTCACATAAATGGGATCATACAGGTATGTGGTCTTTTGGGCCTGGCTTCTTCCACTTTTTTTTGTTGTTGTTGAGGTTCATCCATGTTGCCTCTTTTTATTGCTGCGTATAGTGTTCTATTATGTGTAAAAAATGCTCGGTATCATTAGGCCTTAGGAGAATGTCAGTGATGAGCCACAACGCAAGCTCTGGGATGACTACACTAAAACATCTGGCAGTAACAGGAGCTGAGGAGGATATGGAGAAGCTGAACTCCTTGCTGGTGGGAACATGGAGGGTGAAACCAAACAGTGCATCTGGAAAGGGGAGGCAGATCTTAGAAAGTTAAACACAAGCTTACCAGCAACTCTACTCCTAGGTATCTAGGAGTATCTAGGAGCCATAGGAAACACAGGTCCCCAGCAAGACTGGCACACAAAAATTTACAGCAACATTATTCATAATAGCCCCCAAACTGCCAATAGCTCAAATGTCCATCAAATGGTAAGTAAATCAAATGTGGCATCTCCGCACAATGGAATATGATTTGCAATGAAAAGGAATGAAGTGGTGACACACAGAAGTTCCTCGAGGGCAGGAGATTTTGCTTGCTTTGTTCACGGATGACCAGGGCATATAATAGGTGCTCATTAAGTATATGGTGAATGGACATGTCTTTAATCTGGCTCTGCCAAGTGAATAATGTAAATCACTTTATTAAACTGTTAATTTTTAAAGGATTTTATTACATTTTGAAAAAATGGCCATATTTACAGTCATAAAAAAATGCTCAGAATACTGAAAGTAAGGATACAAAAATAATCTATATTAACAAGTTTGCCTTTCGTACATGCTACTAAATAGGATTAACGTCATGGCAAGTTTTGAAACCACTACGTATCGTTAGAGCTGCTGCTATAAGACTCAAAGGAGATTATGGAAGATAGTATCTAAGGAAAAAATAACCTGGCCAACATCCACTGTAAACCTTAGCTACAGTTTTTTATTTTA